TGCCAGAGGCAGGTTGGTGCCCAGAGCTTGGCAGGGGCAGGATGTGTAAGCCTGGGGACTCCATGGCTGCCCCTGACTGAGGCCCTTAAGCAAGTTTCAATCCTAGTTTGATTGATGTTTTAAAGAGATCACCTTAGCTGCTGTGTTAGAAAGTAGATTGTGATGTTTAACAATGGAAGCAGGATCATTGCTGGAGTGATGTCTGAGTGAGATGAGGGGCTCTGGGACAGGACTATGGGAAGGGATGGGAGGAGAGTGGATTCCAGAGAGGCTGGGAGTCAGGAGGGCAGGACCTGCTGATCAAGAGGCCATGGGGGTGATGGGGAAGAGATGGGGTGACCTCAGGTTCCAGTGCAGCTTGGACGCACTCCTAGTGGGGCACAGAGCGTCAGGCTGGTGAGGCCGGCTCTCAGTGGGTCAGCCCTGGCAGCACAGAGCTGTGGCATTAGGCAGGGATTGACTCCAGTGCTCGGCAGTCATAAATCCCCCTCTAAGAATCCTACCAGATGGCCGGGAAGCAGAAGATTAGGCAGAAAGTGGGGTGTCACTGATGGGACTCTGCATGACCGTCAGAGGTGAAGATCTGACCTCAGTGGAGAATATGGGAGAGAAACACAAAAAAGGAGCAAAAGGAGGTGAAGGAGGACACACACACACGAGCTGGACTTGGCAGCGCTTTTCCCTCCACTGTCTCACGTGCGCCTCAGCACGCCCGACGACTGACCACGCAGGACTGACTATCTGCATTTAACAGGGAGGTCCAGCTGTCTGCCCTGGGTTTCCAGGGCCCACCCATAGGTGGCCAGGGTCCTAGCCCGGGGCTGCAGCCTTCACACACCATCAGTCTGAAGCCAAGAGCATTAAACTGAAGCGCACAATTCGTAAAACTCTCGGAATGAGAAGGAGTTCATTATCTAGTAGCCCCATTACAGGATTCTGCTGACATCTAACTGTGAGGCTGTATTTTCAGGATCCCAGTGACTTGTAAACCACTACCCCGTAGTCTACAAACGGCTGGCAGACTATGCCACAGGCCAGACCTAATCCTCTACCTATCTTCATGCAGCCCTAGGCTAAGAATGGTTCTCGTATATTCACTGAAAACAATAAAAAGAGTATATCATGACTCATAAAAATTCTACGAAATTCACACTGCAGCATTCACAGATAAACTTTTGTTGGAACACATTGGTGCCCACTGACTTCCTAAGTGTCCAGGACTGCTTTCGTGGCAGGGTCAAGCAGCCGCGACAGGAACAATGTGGTCCACAAAGCTGACAACATTTATTCTCGGGCAGGTTGTGGAAGAAGTTTTAGACCCTTGGTCTACAGAGCTGTCCATTCCCAGCTGCTGCACCTTTCCTCTTCCTCCTCCTGCCCAGTCCCAGCTGAGCGCCAGGCCCAGCCCTGACCCCGCACCACCATGCATTTGGAGCCTCTGTAGCCCAATCAGGCCCTGGCTGCCTTCCCGGAGCTGTCCCTCCTCTTCACTTTCCACCCCTCCCAGGGGACCCATGCATTTTCAAGGAAGCCCTAGAAAACGCAACCGGGCAGAGGGAGGCTTGAGGAGACGTGTGGTCTGGGCGCTCTGCTCACAGACACCCAAGTGTTCAGGCACCCACACTCAGGCTGGGTTTGGACCCCGGAAGAGACACAGCTGGGGGGTGGGGCCATGCTCTTCTAACTGCGCTCAACCAGATGAGGGTGAAAGTTCCCTGGAAGCAGCTGCCCCCCCGCACTGACATGGATGCCTGACCTGCCCTGGGAAGGGGTCCTCCTGCCACCCCCAAACTCGACCCCCACATGCCAGCTGGCTGGCAGGATCTCCTGCATCAAGACCAGACCCAGCCGGGCAGAACCCTCTGAAGGCAGCAGTCTGGAGAGGGGAGGGCTCCTTCCTCCCTCAGCGTCTCGGGGAGTGGAGCCCACAGCCCACGGCTTGAGCTAATGCCAGAGGTCAGACCCCACGGCCCTCCCGCCAAGGCCAAGTCCAGAGTCGGGTCTGGGACCCCATGGACTCCCCCGCCCAGGTGCTGCCGGGTCCCGAAGCCTCCCTTCCTCCCACCCCCATCTCCCGCCTCCCGAGTGGGGAGGCTTTGTTTCTGGCAGAGCGGGACCTCCCGCGCCGGTGCGTGTGGGTGTTGGGGAGGGGTCTCCGCTCTCGGAGGCTCGGGGGCTGCCGGGGCGCCCGGCCAGTGGCCCGTGACCGCTCGCTTTCCTTGGAGTCGCTGAACCCCGGTTAGTGGAGGGTTCGGGGCCACCAGGGACTCCGGCCAGAGCGGCTGGGGCTGAATCGCTTTGTCTCGGACAAAGGGCTCCCGACGCGGCGCCAGTGCGTCCAAGGGGCGGGCGGCCCACGGGCTGTGCCGGGAACGGCATCTCCCCGCGCCCCGGACCAGCCCGGGCCAACAAAGGACCGCGTCCGCCCGCCTCGCCGGCCCGGCCGCCGCGGGAGGAAGGAGCCTCCAGCGCTCCGAGGGACAGGCCGCCCGGCCCCGGGTTCTCCCCGGGCCCAGCCGAGGCTCCCGGAAGCCGGCAGGGCCGGGCCTGGGCGCCCCGCTCCGTAAGGGGTTCTGCGCGGCGCTCGCGGGGACTCTCGGACCCTGGAGCTTCGTGAAGAAGCCGGGCAGGGAAGGGCGGGCGCCGGGACGGGCCAGACGCGAAGGCAGAGCCCCCCCAACGCGCGAGGCCAGGAGGGTCCGCCCCGCGTTCAGGCCCCACTCCGGGCGGCGGGCAGGGGGCGGCGGGCAGGGGGCGCCGGGCGAAGCGGGGCCGGGCTCACCGTGATCCGGGGGATGCTTTTCTTGCCCTGGAAGGACATCCTGCTCCTGGGGGTCTCTGGCAGGGGCGGCACGAGCAGGGGCGGGCGGGGGACGCGTCAGCCGGGACGCGTGCGTGTGGGCGGCGGGAGACAGACTGCGAGCGCGCGGGGCCGCAAGGCTCCGTTCCGGTCCCGCCCCCGCTGGGCCCCGCCCCCGCCCCGGCTCCGCCCCCGACAGGCCCCGCCCCCGGCAGGCCCCGCTCCGCCCATGAGCCCCGCCCCCGCCCTCAGCCCCTCCTTCGCTTTAAGCCCCGCCCCGGCCCCCCCAACTCCCCCAACTCACCGCCCAGCGTAGCGGGGGCGGCCGCAGGGTCTGATCTCTGCATCCCGGGCCCCCGCACGGACCCGCGGACAAGGGCTGGGTGGGAATTTCAACCTGCTGCGGCTGTGTGCGGAGTTTACACCCCGGGGAGACGAGGGGGAGAGTCCGGACACGTCCTGCCAGGCCCCGCCCGCGCCCCCGCTGCCCTCCAGCGCGAAACCCAGCTCCCGGGAGACGCGAGGCGCCCAAGGCCCCGGGATTCCCAGACAGTCAGCCCCGGGCGGCGGCGCTCTGGGAGCCGCACCGGTCCAGGAAGGCGCCTTGGCCAAAGCCGGCTCCTTCGCGGATGACCCGGGCCAGGGTCTGAGCGCCAGGCTGTGACCCCGCGAGGCTGTTCCACGCCGGCCGCGAGAGACGGAGGGCAGGAGTGGGGGCGCGAGTCGGAGAGACACGGAGACAGCGAGACAGAAGGAGGCGCTCGCGCTCCCCAGGGACCGGGACCCGGTGGCGGGCGGGGCCTCAGGGGGGTCGCAGGACCCAGAAGGCTCAGGACCTTTGTGGAGAGGGAGGCCCCGCAGAGGGGAGCGGGTGAGCCCCACGCCCGGCGTCCTCCGGGTGCGAGGGTCTCGGGGAGTCCGGGCCCGGGCCCGCGGCCACTACCTGCTGGGGGTCACGGGCCTGGGTCACGCCGGGCTGCCCTCGGGGACGTGCTGCGGCCGTTGAGGGGTCTCCGCAGTGCTGGCCCGACCGCTCCGAGTCGTCGCGCGCCCCGCAGACCGGCTCCCCAACCCGAGGGCCCCGGCGGCCGCCGCCCAGCGCGTCCAGCGGCAGCGTCTTGCTCTCGAAGGCGTCCTCCACGCAGCGGAACACGCAGCCGAGCTTGGGCCGGGCCAGAAGCCTCGCGGGCTCCTGAGGCTGCCGCGCGGTCATGGCAGGAGCGGGCGACAGGATCCGGTCTCGGAGCCTCCTGCAGCGACGTCTGCGCTGCAGGTGCACTGGGCGGACCTGGCGGCCGCGCCCTCTCCCCGCCTCCTGCCGCCCGGCGCGGAGCTGGCGCTGTCCACGTAGCGGGTGCTGAACGCCCCATTCTGGCCCCTGGGCGCTCGCTTCGTCCCAGCCACGCGTGGCTGGTCGCCCTCCGAACATGGTGGGCGCTGGGAAGACCGGGCAGGGAGCGCACACTGGAGAAACCGCTACAGGAATCCCGACCACATTTTCAGACCCCTTGGGCCGTCCCACGACAGACAAGAAGGCCCCGACTCCGAAACCCTGGGCGAGCGTGGAGGGCTGGATGGGGGGTACCTGCCCACGCAAACTGCTGCTGATCTCCCTTAAAGCCGAGTTAGAGGCTTGGGGTGAGACAGGGGTGAGGGGACTATGCTGTCACTCCATCTTTCACTCTACCCAGCCTGCAACGGCTGAATTTGAACCCAGAGACTTCGGGCCTTTGCGTTGTTAGCGCAGTCCGCACTTCAAAGCCAGAGTTCGGACACTGAGTCACCTCGAGTACTGGCGGGGCCTGAGCCAGCAGAGCTAGGTCGAGCAGCTTCCCACACCCTCGTCCTCCTCTGGCTCCCCCACCCCTCAATGATTAATATGTCTGTTACTCACCTGTGGGACCGTCCACGGCAAACATCACCAACTGTTCTCATGCATGTGCAGAAGTTCCGTCCCTTTCCTAATTGTTCGATCTCTTCGATGGTTCACATTTGACCAACAGCCACAGGAGAGAGTCTCCCAGGTGGTCGACCTGAGCCAGGTGCTGCCAGGCACCCCTGACTGCAGAGCTTGCCCTCCAGGTGATCTCGCAGGTGAGACCTGGGGCTTTCCTCCACAGTGGGCGGAAGGCGCAGACCCCGTTTTTGGTGTTCAGAGGCACTGTTCAGGGAATGAACTCAGAAGTGCAGAAATGGCTCATACGGCTTTCAGTTCAAACTTTAATACCTTTGAAGGGACTTTAATCGTCTAAGATTTAAAACATTTTTTATTAAAACTGTACAATAATTTACAAATGAGTAAAAATTCTCTGGTATATATCATAGGAATCACAATACAAAAATATGTGTAAAATCTCGTAGATCACCATACAAACCTACGTTAGGCCTGTGAATACGGATTAGCACTGAACAGAATGTCACGTGGTTAGAGGGTGACTATGAAGGGAGTGCCTGGGAGGACACACACACTGCTCGGCATGCTGCCATAAGAAAACGGGCCGGTTAGTTTTTGCATAAATTTACAATAAAGCTTTTTAAAAAATATACAGTAAACAAATATATGATTTGATACCTATATTCAGAATATGAGTTTCCTGAGCCTAAACTTAAATTCCACTCTGTGTTAAAACACATACTCCCTCTCAGGGTTTCAAGGATGGGATGACAGTGAGTGTTGGCGAATGCATCAGTGCCTCCAAACCCACGCTTGGGCACTCTCTTCTTTTTGACTTTTGGTCGGTGTTCACAAGCCCTGTAAGGCACTCGGGGTATCCTGAAGGCTACAGATTCTGCCAGGGCAGAGACTTTAAGGAACAGCCATAGTCCTTCTCCAGCTCAAAATCTGGACCGTGGGCACAAGGTAAACAACACACTGGTGTCAACAAAGAAATCTGCGATTTACGTGGATTTTTACTTTAGACAAACTGAAGTATCTATGTTGTTCTGTGTGTTGAGCACAGAGTGTGATGATGTTAATACAATATGATGTAAATGTTGATGTCCTGGTTACACAGTAAGCATTTCTGGCCACATTTCAGGGTCCTTCCTCTTGCGTTATTAGCGGATGATGCATTTATACAGACTTCCCCTGTTAGAAAAGCTAGCAGTAAGACAGCCCAAGTACTCGGAGGAAATTCACTCTAGCCCATTGGTTTGGAAAAAGAAAGTATAGCCTACAATTTAGAAATGCACCTTATTTTTAAATACTTGAATTCTGTTGCTGCTCACTGGACCAGGAGGAGTCAGTGATAAATGTTCATATTTACCTTTTTGGGGGCAAAAACCCAGTTCTGAAATGCTGGATATTGTAATCAGATGTAAAGAAGGTGCCTATGATAGAAGAGTGAGAACAATGATATCTGAGGAGAGGAACTGACGCTCCAACTAGATGTGAGCTTTCAGGAATGGGACAGGGATGCAATGCAGTTTGCATGTTATTCAGCACGTTCCTTGTACCTTCTCCCTTTCGTATATACATACTTTTTACATATAAACAATTACAACTTCATAAGAATTGGTACATATTTACATGCTTCTCTTTGCTGTATAGTTTGCCTTATTACTATTACAGACTGTGATTAAGAGTGCCTGTGGTGGATAGAGGTGTATGAAGTGCTCCAGACATATATACAACATGCAAAACCATGATGACCCAAATAAACATGAGGGATGTGAATCTGAGTTTCACTGCACATCTTTAGATCCAAAACAGCTGGCCCATGCAGCTGTTGTTCCCATGCAGGACAACACTAGGACCATGCCAGGAGCTCCCCCAGAGGAGGAGCCAGGCTGGCAGGGAGGCAGGTAGAGTTACAACGTATTTCTGGATACCTGCATCGTAGAGTCCATTGGACTTCAACTCAGCGGTTCACCCATAGCGCTACGGTAGCTTTTATTAACACAAGGCTATTGTGTGCCATTCAGTTCTGAGTATAATAAATGTACCAAGAAGATGCAGTCATTAAAATGAGACAAAACTATGCACAGAGGACTGAAAAAGATTTCAGACTTGAGACGCAAACCCCAAGGTCAGGCTCAGCTAGAGACATTGAACTGGCCCAGTATCTTGTCTGAGTAAATCAGGAACTGTGGCTTGAATGACAACAGAAACGGATGGGTCTTTCTTGGACAAGTGCTGATTAATAGTGCATTTTCTAGCAGAAACCCTGCAGCCACCAAAGAAAACGCATACCTGTCTGAGAGTATTAGCTTTTCCCTGATTTCAACCTAGGGAACCATGCCTGGGCCGCGGCCACTATGTCATCTGCCCCAAAGTCAGACATTTCTTCTGACACAAATATAAAATGAACCTAATACTTCCAGACAACCCAATCCTCCCTGCAGCAACTGAGTCACCTCCTTTATACAATGGTGCACGTTACATTCACACCTGGCTGCACATCTAACTGCCTCAACTTCTAGGTGCCTCAAAACGGCTAAATCCCATGAATTGCTCTTCTGGTTGAGTGAAAACACGCATAAACGCAGGCATGTGCACACAAGTGAGTGTGCACACACACACCTCCTGTCAATTCAGCTCTGAGAGCAATAACCTTAGACCACCAAGGGTGGGAGGACACAGAAGTTCCATCTTCAGGCAGTCAGGCTCCATCCACAGGCTGGACGAAGCTCCCGGGCTGTGACCTGGGTCTCCCAGCAGGAATGGAAATCACACCTAACGTTGCCTTCACCAATGCACTGCTTCCTCTCTGAAAAAGAGTGGAGAAAATACCATTTAGTGCGACGACCTGGGGCATGTGGGCACCACGGGTCAGCACTCAAGGCAGTTGGGGCCTTGACCAGGCACTGGCTCTGCACAGGACAGTCCTTGAGCCAATGGCAGGCGCTGCCCTCATGGGTCCAGCACCAGCTACAGCACCACATCTTGAGCCTCCAGCCCGGGAGACGCACCCGGCCCACACTGAAGGCCACATTCTCAGGAAGATGAGTCCATGCTCCCCACAAAGCCCCTACAGAAGTGACCTTGGATCTTTCTCACCATGTCTGGGCCAGTGGCCCGGTTTCCACCCAGCTTTACTCATTACTTAGAAAGTGGGCCTCTGCTAGGTTCAAATTGTTTATTTCCTTTTGATTTTTTAATGTTTTTGAAGAAGTTATGAAGGAGCTGCTTTTCACAAGGGCGGGCCCCGGATGAGTCCCTGGGGCACAGCAGCATTGGGTGGGAGGCCACGTGGGATGAGGGGCGGGAGAGAGGCCACGCTGGGACAGAGGCAGAGGGCCCAGCAGTAGAGACACCACGGTTTTCTAATCTCGGAGAGGTCTGAAGAGCTTTTTGGTTTTTCATTTTTTAACCTAACTTCTAAGATATTACCTCAAACAGAATGAAAAATAAATGTAGTCAAATGACACATACATGTTTACTTCTTCCCGTATTAAGCGTTACAGTTGAAATCTCTGCCGCAGTTAACATAGTACCTTGTTCTTTGTGCCTTTAATCAGGTTCATTTCTAAATACGTTGTGGTGGAACCATCGATCTCTAGAAAGTACAGGAGGAAGGGGACCTGCCAGTCCAGCCCTCATATTTTACAGATGGAAAAGCTGAAGCCCCATGTAAAATAGGGATTTCCCTCGGTGACACTTCCAGGCTGAGCAGGGCCAGGGATCCGGACACCGACCTAGTAACACTCCCGCCCCATCAATGCCTCTCTGAATTATGTGATCAACTGCCTGGGGTATGAACTACGCACATGCAAATAGAGAACAGAGGTCTTGTTGAAAATATTATGCAGAATTTTAAAAACTCACTCCCCAAACTGAAGGGACAAGACGAGAGTGTTTGATTTCCTGTGGTCACTCGATCCCGCTCCAGAGCCAGCTGGTGCTCTCCATTGTCAACACGCTCCACTCACTACCCTATTTCCAGAACAGGAGACTTTCTGTCCCATCCATGGCTGCAACATACCACTCACACACACACACTGCATGTGCATGTACACACAATGCACAATACACATACATGCACATGCACAAACAGCACATACACACTGCACATGCATGTACACACAACACACTGCACATACATGCCCACACAATATGCACACATGCACTGTACATGTGTATACACAATGCAAAATACACATGCACATACAGTGCACAACACACATACACATACATGCACATGCCCAAAGACACCACTCACACACAGCCCACACATGCACACAATATATGCATGCATACACAACACACCACTCACAGCACATGCATTCACACACTATACACACACACACACACACACACACACACACATCGTTCTGCTTCTAGGTGTGCAGTCCTCCCAAATCCCTTCCGCCCCACCCCATCTCTTCTGGGGGATGTGGTCTTCTCCCTCCCATCCTCCCTCCCCTTTCTGGCCACAGTGGAAGCAGCTGTTCTGGGGGTCCCCAAGACCACCTGCATGTCTGGGGACTCACTGGGATTCACAGGACTCAGCACACAGTCACACCATAGCAGGGCCACACCACGGCAGGGTCACGTCATGGCACAGTCACACCACAGCAGAGCCACACCACGGCAGGGTTACACCACGCAGGGCCACACCACGGCAGGGTCACGTCATGGCACAGTCACACCACAGCAGAGCCACACCACGGCAGGGTTACACCACGCAGGGCCACACAACTGCAGGGTCACGCCATGGCACAGGGTCATGTCATGGCACAGTCACACCACAGCAGGGCCACACCACGGCAGGGTTACACCACGCAGGGCCACACCACTGCAGGGTCACGCCATGGCACAGTCACACCACAGCAGAGCCACACCACAGCAGGGTTACATCATGCAAGGCCACACCATGGCAGGGTCATGTCATGGCACAGTCACACCATAACAGGGCCACACCACGGCAGGGTCACGTCATGGCACAGTCACACCACAGCAAAGCCACACCACGGCAGGGTTACACCATGCAGGGCCACACCACAGCAGGGTCATGTCATGGCACAGTCACACCACAGCAGGGCCACACCACGGCAGGGTTACACCATGCAGGGCCACACCACGGCAGGGTCATGTCATGGCACAGTCACACCACCACAGTCACACCACAGCAGGGCCACACCACAGCAGGGTTACACCACGCAGGGTTACACCACGCAGGGCCCCACCATGGCAGAGTCACACCACAACCACCACACCATGGCACAGCCACACCATTATCGCAGCCGTATAATCAGGAGACATGGCTGGATCTACAAGGGAAGCGTTCACAGGCACAGCCTGGAGAGGCCTGTGAGCAGACTTCCTGTGCTCTCTCCCGCCCATTCTCTTCCCCACTGCGAGGTGCACGTGGGGCACACACTCCCTCCAGCAGCAAAACACAGCCCCACGTATGCAGTGTTTCTGCTCAGGGAATTCCAGCTGAGACCCCAAATTCATGATTTTGATTGGGGGACTACTCAGTTGTGCACCCCCGGCCCACTAACATGCCCGGCTCTCAAAAGAAGGCCGGTGTTTGCCATGAATCACATTGTTTGCACAAACGGTCTAGGCAGGAACTTCCTCACTAAAGGAATGCTTCAAAGCCAAGTTCCCAGACGCCAGCCCTTGCACACAGGCACTTCTGCAACTAGCAGCCTCAGGCCTGTCCACAGAGACACTCTTGAGTGAGGACTTTGGGGTGCCAGAGCTTGCATGGGGGAATTGAGGAGCCCCATGGAGCCACAGAGACCAAGGCCAGACCCATGGGTGGCCGCCTCCCACCTGTCCTGTGCCTGACATGGCTCCAGCTTGGATGAGGTCCTCAGCTGACTGTGAGGGACTGTGTGCTGAGTCCTGTGAATCCCAGTGAGTCCCCAGACATGCAGGTGGTCTTGGGGACCCCCAGAACAGCTGCTTCCACTGTTGCCTGGAAGTGTGGGGGATGGGGGGACATGGGGCTGCGAATTGCCTTCAGGGAGCACATTCTTTTACATACTTGGCTATTCACATGGCAAATATTTACTTGAGTGTATCAGTGCCACAGCAAGGGTTCCACAGGAGAAACCCAGGCAACCCTCATCCCAAGAGCTCCCAGTTCTCAGGGAGGGGGCAGGAGAGTGCTTCTCGGGCGGCTGAGCTTCGAGTGACAGGAGAGAGGCAGGATGTGGGGAGCTCAGGCATAGTGCAGGTGGGGCCCCAACCAGCTCACAGCCCGGGGAGCCCAAGAGTCCCATCGACAATGTCCATGCACACACATGGACACTACCCAGTGCCCCGTGGCCATGCATGATGCTGGGGGAGGATGAGCACTGAGGGCCCCTGCCCTTCGCGCTGGAGGGGAAAGCCTGGGTAATTTTATCTTGGGCTGCAATAAGGATGGCTGATGAAGCATAGGAACAAGTTGACGACCACAATCATGAACTTGGCTCATTGGACAGTGCCAAGGGCTGCAGCAGGGACAGGAGATGACAGCATGCCTGGGGCACCACCCAGGGCTGGCACAGGGTACTTCTGCAGGTCGGGGCCCCCAGCCCCACAGGCACGAAGGCACCAGAACCTTGCTAAAAGTCGCAGAGGCAGAACCCTCATCAATAACACCACGGGTACCACGTGCAGACGGAGTTGTACATATGGATCAGGAAACAGCATTCTGATTGATGTCAAAACAGAGCACGAGGAACAGGCCCCTGCCGTCTGTGTGTGTGCTGGAAATTTCCACTGGGATCTCAACTGTTTGGAAACATAACACAGTTGGCAAGGAAGACAAGAGCCTTCCTGGGGTCCGGACCTCTGCTTGCTTCAGAATTCATCAGATGATGAATGCCACTGGAAGGCTCAGAACCTACAGCCTCAGTTTCCAAAAGTGTGCATGAGACAAGCAACCCCAGGGTTCTCACACAGGGTGAGCCGCTTGGGAGGTGGTGAGACCCTGCAGCCTGGATCCTTGCTCTCTTCCCCAACACTGCCCCACAAATACACAGATTCCCAGCTGACAGGACATGGAGCGAGGGCCGAGCACAGGACCTTTCCCCATAGGCTCTTTTGTCTGAGAAACTTTAGCCAAATATTTTCAAACCAAACAGAAACAAATGGCAACCACTAAATCTGCTCACGGTCAAGGTATTTTTTTCTTGAAGCTCTGATTTGGGGAAAATATGAAATAGACCTTACCCAGATACAGACTTAGCCTCCTCCTCCTTTTCCTCCTCTACCCACTTCATGGGGTCTCTCTCAACCCTACAGAGGGGACCAGTGCTGTTACCAACTCCCGTCTGCCCAGAGCCACCTTTGAGGTCCTCTCCCCAGCCACCACGGAGGAGCCCCATGTGGCCCACACAGATGCTGGGACAGTCCTCAGGCATGTGGTGTTCTGCCCTGGGTCAACCTCCTGATTTTGGCTCTACAGCTCCCTAATAAATAATAAAGGCAGAAGCCATTTTGATGGTGCAGGTGGCAGGTAGGACACTGAAGTGGGTGCACAGGAGCAGGTGCACACACACCACAACCAAATGCACAGTGTGCACACACACGCATACTGCCCAGGGCACAGAAGCAAGTGTATACACACCACGACCAAATGCACAGTGTGCACACACATGGACACTACCCAGGGCACGGGAGCAAGTGTATACACACCATGACCAAATGAACAGTGTGCACACACACACACAGACACTACCCAGGGCACAGGAGCAAGTGTATACACACCATGACCAAATGCACAGCGTGCACACACATGGACACTACCCAGGGCACGGGAGCAAGTGT